ATTTTGTATCAAACTTACTTTGGACAAACAGAAGAACAGATTTCGTACATAGGGTTTCCTATAGATCTATAAAAAGAGGGTATAGAAATGCGTGTGTATTTGGAGTGTGTGAGAACTGGTGTGGATGCGGTTAAGCATACACTAAATCCAAACGGTTTGGACTCCATGAATTTGGCCAAAAGTGTGTTTGGATTTGGGTTTAGATTCAGCACTAAAATTAATCAACTAATTCCAATTTGAGCTTAGGCCCCACTTGTTCTTCCATCATTTTCTTCTAAAAAAGGTATCAACTCCAATTTCGATTTCAATTCTAGCCAAGTCTACTCTAATCAAAGCAGGTATTGTGAAAATTTGAGCCTGTTTCAAAATCTTTTGCTGAGTTATCTGAATGTCATCAGATAGAATGAGAAAAGTTACATATTCTCTTATAGTTTGGCGATGTGACTACGTTTCTATCTGAGTTATCCAAAATAAATACCATAAAAAAAACGATTTTTATCAGTTTTTGCAGACTTCCAAGTAAAGCTCAAGTATGAATAAGTTTGCTGACTTCATATTTGCATATAGTGTAGAACTTTGTATCTTGGGTTCTGCAATAATTAAAAACTTTTTTCAGAAATTTTGCACGAGCTTCAGATCTAAAAAAACATAAACGAGCGATTTCACGAAACTAGATGTCTGAGCACCCCGTTGAGATGGTGCCAATGTAAAAAGGTCGAAAATATTTTGGACCAGGAAAGGATCTTATCCCACTATGCTCCTTCATGAATCGATTTGATTATTGCTTTCAGTGATTTCATGTATTTCAGGATTTTTGCTTAAATATAGAACCGTATTTCATATATCATTAGTACTGAAATTGGAGGAACAAATGGAAAAACATCTATGAAATACATCACTAAGTATACTAAGCTTTGTAAGTAAGTCACGAATGTGCTTAGATTTGCAATAAGCGTTTTTAAGATTGCTAATAAATATTAATTGAAATTCCTCTGAAAATATTTATCTTTTATAGTCTAAATCTTATATAATGCGAATAAATAGTATAAAGAATGTGTATGTAGATGTGGCTATTAGAACTGAAGTCTTCTCTTCACCTACACCCACCCACTGTTCGACTCGCGTTGGATTCTCACTTGATCACGGGAGATCGTGACTTCACCGTGCATCGTCACTATATAAAAAGGGCAATGAACACCAATGATCACCATATAAAACAACATCTTAATCATGTTATCTTACAAATCATACGAGAGTGATGTAGAATTATTGAATCAGAATTATATTTTCTCTAGAAAACTCGAAAGATTCTTAATCCAGAATTGTGCTTTAAATTTAAAACTTGCTTAGTATCATTCAGTTACGCTCTAGCTACAAGAACTTCAATCACTCCGTTACTCATTGGCAAACATCCCCAACAACACCAACGGAAGATCACGACCCAAATTATTCACCAGACTTCGCAAAAAGCTTACACAACACAACTATACCTGAAAGTATATGTTATCTACGCTGTTGTCACATCACGATTACTAAGCTGATCAAACAACTCCGGATAATCTACTTCGCCCATTCGCTCATATCACACATATTTTATTCATCTTCACATTGGATACAGAATAGACTTGGTCCGATTCAACTATGAGTGTTGATGCCCGAATCAACGATTCCCTTACCCACATCGAGATGGATCATCTTCCTCTGACTTACTCATAGATACTCGAGCTGATCAGTCGATTGTCTGCCATCGTTCTGCAATCCACAAAATATATCCATAGATAAGGCGACATGTCCGAGCTCAACCCATTCGTTTCACTCGATTTACTCATAACGTAACAATTCGCTGGCTCTCACGCCATCGATCAGCAAAATATGTTACAGGCTTACTAGCGCATGAGCAACCATGATTGAGCAACAAACCAGTTTTTGTCAGACATCAACATACAAATGCTTTGGCCCACAATACATCGAAAAAATGCTGACGATCCTTCATCATTACAAGACGCAGTCCCATTGAAACTTTATGAATGGTTTGATAAATGACATACACGATCATTCTTGAATATTGGTCTGGATCCAGCACTCTTCATTTCGAATATGGCACAAACTCCATTTCATGCGATGATGAGTGAATATGGCTATAATAACTTTCTATTGATGAACAATATCCAGGTTAGCATGCAAGACCACCTGTCACAACTTCAATCATCCATATCGACATTCGGTGATCACGAACAGGCCATTCACATGCACCAGTCGTCGCCAAACACTTTCGCCAAATATCAACTCAATCGATCTCACTTATCGTTGATACATTCATCGTTATTTCATCATCGATCACCATCAACTACATCATCACACTATAACCAATCGATAGGCATTCGATTATCTGAGATGTGATAGATGCTCGACATTCGTATTTATCACTCACTGTCATTTTTCTGTTGACAACCAATGAATTCTTGCAACTATCGACTGAGCAACGAAAGACAAATGGTGCTCACCATAGTCGACACGACATGATTCGACGACATGACATTTATCGGCGATTCGCCGACAGTCGAATGAAGAGCATCCTTCACCCATACCAAAATCTATTCGCTGCCATCAACGGGATGTAGCTATACTAATCGGTCTAATATCTCCATCTATCAGCTTTTGTCACTGATCGAAGCTTCAAAAATATGACAACTAAATGCTAGGTTGATTTTCAAACGATTACTACAATAAAGTGACACCACTAACACGTCGACACAGATCTCACTTGTCAGATTCGTGATCTGCAAATCGTCACTAATGCAACAACGATTGAAACCGATCTTTCAAGCATCTTTGACATATGAAAAGAAAAGATAATAGTGAACTAACTATATTTTGCACGTTCGATATCTTCATTCTTCGCGAAATTGTCATGATTCTTCCGTTGTATCATTTTTTTCTTTTATTTTCCATGGTTTATGCTATTTCGCGCTCGAGCTTGTCTACTCCATGTGACACTCTTATGCATTTATGTTCTCCCTGTATCTCTTGTCTGGATGTTCTCGTTTGTGTTTGTTTCATTATGTCTTTTTGTATGCTTTCGAAATGTGATAAAATAACATTTGTTTATCAGACGGGGTTATATTACAGCACTAGCACTAATTCGTTTCTTGAGTGCTATGGTCTTGCGTACGTCAAAGATCCCTTGTTCCTTTCATTTCTCCTTTCTAATTTTTCCTCGTCATCTGTGATCTCGTTTCACACTTCGAAAATTCATTGTTTCTATCACTTAATTTCTTTTCGTTCATCTATATATGCGCTAGTTGAATCTATTGAAGTAAGTTCGTTTGTTATTTCGCTTCTCGATAGTAGTTGTCATTTTCTATCTCCATTTATCTGTTTGTCTTCACCTCATTTGTACTGTGATTCTCTCTGTTATCGAGTAAATACATATTTTACTTGGGGTTATCAATAACCATTCTTCCAAGTGACCTTAAAAAAATGTAAATCATTTTGCTCAAAACAGCTAGTACTTGAAGATGTGAATGTTCGTGGATATGAATGGGTGAGAATGTACTTTTTACTTGAAACCTCTCACGCCCACAGTAATAAAATCATATGAAACCTACGATTCATTCTCTTTTTCAGTCAAATAAGATCAGGAGTCAGTGAATTCTTCCCAATACCTCATTAGTGTTAATCGAGGGACTCGATTGAGAAATGAGTCAAGAAATAATTATATCAAGGTTGGAAAGTACTACTGCAACACGTGTCTATATAGCACTATTCCCCAATCCTTCGTATTTAGTTATTCTTAAGAGATCGATATATTTTAACGTACCATGGCACAGTTTATTTCTCTTTTCTTTGTTTTTCTCTTAAAGAATGACAACAAACAATGTATTCGATGTGATAATCATTGGTTGTGGTGCAACCAGTATTGGTGAGCAATCAAACTTCAGAAACTTCAACCAACTACACACTTTCTCGTTATTGAAGCTTGAGATCGGATGGGTGGCCGTGCCTTCACTGACATAGGCACTCGTGGAGCGAATTCTCCTGTGCTCATTGGCTTTGTCATCACGAACCAGATAAACTTTTACGTGCTTATTATAAACCATCGGACAGAGATCAGATGTATTCTGATATTTATGACACAAAACAAATGACCATCTTCGATGAAGATGGAACGACTATTTCAGAACCGTTAATCGAGAAAGTAAAGAAAATTACGAAGCAACTCTTTTCAAAAGTCAAGCAATATCAACTAGAGAGGGCGGACATATCAGTATTGGATGCA